GAGAGGTGGTGGGTGCTTTGGGAGGAACGGTTGGTGAAAAGGCTGGAGCAAGGCAGCATGTCTGGCCTTGCAGTAATAGGCCTTGGGTTACTGCTGGTAATCCTGTCTTTCTCTTGTGGGATTAGAGGAGGTCAGAACATGTGGCCTCCTTGCCGTTTTAGCAGTACCTAAGGCATTTGACTGCTAACCAGAAGGATGGCGATTCAAACCCACCAGGCACTCCTCGGAAAGAAGACTGGGCAATCTGTTTCCATAAACATTTACCACCTTGGAAACCCAAAGGGGGGGTCGCTTTAAGCCAGAAGCTACTCGATGGCAGTGAGTGAATGAGTGAATGGTCCTTCTAGGGGCTGGTTACATGGGTGTTGTTCACTTTGTTAAATTAATCCAGTGGTACTCTGATGACATGTACATTTTTGCACATGTGTGATCTACTTCAATCAAAAGTTTACTCCCCCAGGGACAGAAAGACTGAGAGAACTACTGATAGCATTTCCACGTGTCACATTCTCTTTCTCCCCTCTTTCCACCACCCAGAATGCCTCCCAAGGAACTCCCTATCCTGTCAAGGCTGGGCTCAGTGGGGAAGCATTCCCTGTGGCCCAAGAAGCTTCATCAGTGGCAGGGGCCTGAGGCAACAGCTGGCCCACTTACCATCTCCGTTAGCTAACTCACAGCAGGGTTGGTAACTATTTTGTTCCCACCTCTGACTACAATCTTCACTAAGCCAGGAATTCTGCCTTGAGGCTCTTACTCATACATAAAACATTCACCTGCCCCCAGGCCAATAAGTGTCTGGCACAAGAAGGTAATGTGGTGAACTCCAGGAGTTAATGGAGGAAGCCCCAGGAGGCACAGCTTCTGCTCCAGCCACACAGTTGGTTCAAGGAACGGAGAAAAACACTGGAGTCTCACAGGCCTGTTTGAATCTCAGCTCCCCACTATTAGCTGAGAAATTAGGTTATTTAACTGCTGTCTGCCTAGTTTCCTCAAGAAGTTTAAATGTGTGGTGTAGTAAATTACATAGTGTGGCTTTTCTAGCCATAAGTCTTTGTAAACCCCATGGTGGAAAGTGCCATTAGCAACTGAGAAGCTGCTGATTGTTAAAGTTATCCACCTGGGGTATTTCTCTTGAGCGTGGCATCAAATAATTTTCTGGGGAAGTTTGCTCTCTCTCAGGTGTATAGGATTCTGATGTTGGGATTGATTAGTTTGGCCACTCTGCCAGACTCAAAAAGGAGCCCTCCCAGGGGCAGAAGGAGTCTGACTGCTGGCTAAGACGCGTTCCTGGGAGACTCAAGAGACATGCCTTGCTAGGAGAGAGACACCAAGAGACACGCACTGCCGGGAGAGAGACTGTCGGCTGAGAGACGGTGGGCTGAGAGAGATTGAGCGTGTTCCTGAACTTGAATTGTAACCTATTGCTTCCCTGATAAACCCCATAATCTGTGAGCTCTACGTGGCCACTGCAGAGAATCATCGAACCTAGCAGAAAGGTGGTGGGTGCTGCAGGAGGAACGGTTGGTGTCAGGGTTGGTGAAAGGGTTGGAGGGAGGCAGCTTGTCTAGCCTCTCAGGAATAGGCCTTGGGCTGCTGATGGTGGTTCTGTCATCCTCTTACGGGGTTAGAGGAGGTCAGAAGATGTGGCCTCCTTGTCCCTTTGGCAAAATGGCAAAAAAAAAAAAGTCCCTACCTCACAGAGCTGTGTTATATTAAATGAAATAGTGTGTTGAGAGCCCTGACAGAGGACACCGTACATCCCAGGTGCTCAAAAATTGTTAGCTATTTTTATCACAGAGGAGTCATCCAGTTTTGAGATTCCCTGCTAGAAATTAATCATCATTTTAAAAATATGAATGTATACCTAGGCACACGTTGTTAGATGTCATTGAGTCACTTCCAACTCACAGCAACCCCATGTGTCAGAGTAGAAGTGCCCCATAAGGTTTTCTTGGCTGTACTCTTTCTGGGAGCAGATCACTCCTACGAGTCACTGGGTGGGTTCAAAACTGCCAAGCTTTCAGCTAGCAGCCAAGCACTTAACCACTGCACCACCAGGTGTCCTACACCTAGGCACATAAGCGCCTTGAATTCACTTTACAAAAGTTTCATTAACAGGATCAGCCACTCATTCATCTCTAGATGTGAAAAACCAATGTTAATTATCCAAGTATTGCTAAGGGTCTAAAAGAGAAAAGACTCAGGGACTGAGGGTGGCTGGTCACCAGAGCTAGGGTCAAAAGTCTCTGTGGGACATATTCTGGTTCTGTTTATGCCACAGGGGACATCTCAGAAAATTCCGTGGGCCATTGCAACTGCTGTGCTGTGGCTTCTAGTTGGGAGGTAGGAACAAGGCAGTGCTGGAGCATCAGGCCTTCCTCCCAGTGGACCAGAGACACTCCATAAAGACCACTGGGCTATTCTGTGGAAACATAAACTCTACTTTAGCTCCCAGCTTGAAAGGTCAAGTCATGTCTGTAGGGTTTGAAATCCAAGGAAACCACTTCAAAGTCACAGGCCACAATTATGAGTCTTCTGTGGTTTCAACAAAAGATCACTGTCATCAGAGACCACAATGAATGGAATGATGTGGAAGAAGCCCTTCAAAAACTTTTAAAGGGATCCACCGATTGAGAAGAATCAAATAATTTATAGAAGTGGTTCTGATAAGCTGAATTCATAATACATCATTCTGTCCCTCCATGCCCAATCTACATATGCTTTTACCACCAAAGAGGTTTCCATGTTTAGTCTCCACCCTGCACCAACACAAAGACAATGGGATGAAACTGCCCCAATTCCTCATTCCTAAGGATGGGTTACCAACTAAGTAGGGGAAGGAAAAAAAAAAAAAAAAAAGCTGTGATACACTAATAGAAAGTGAAAAACACAACTACCAAAGTCCACAACTTCCACACACAACTTCTCCCTGTACATCATTCTGTATGGTGTTCATCTCCTAAGGAACATGGACATCGTACAGAAATCTGAAGATTTTTAAAAATCAATTTTGTTCTTTTGGGCATCAAGGGTTATCTTTTCCAAATATTTGTCAATGTTGATCCTCAGAGAATAAATCACGTCAAAGCTCTGGTATGCACCCTAAGCAGAAAATGCACCAGGGAGGTAATCATTCAAGGTGCAGTCAATCTGCTTAAGTGGGAGGTAGGGTTCTCCAGGGTAACAAAATGATTAGGTTTCAATGCCCAGCTCCTTGCAACAAACACTTTGCAAGATGCCTCTCCTCCTGCAAAGGGTTAAAATAAAAGAAGAAAAAAGAAAAGACCCCAATCTCTCAATCTAGTGGACTGAGAAGCCATTCTTCCCAGGGGACTCATTTCGGGCTGCGAGGCTGAGGCTTTGTGCGCGCGCCGCCCCTCCGCGCCCCCGCCCCTCCTCCCACAGCGACCGTTCCTCCAAGGTTCCCAAGGCCACCTGCTTCTCCTTAAAAGAAAAAGGGGCTACTCCAAGGGGCATCGCACTGCGCGGCAGGCGTCCAGAGCAGCGCTCCCCTCTCCGTAGGGAGGGAAAGGAGGTGTCTCCGGGAAGCGTGCTTTGTCGCTAGGGTTGCGCGGCCGCCCGCAGTGGCCCCAGAGGCCTGAGAGGTTTTGTTCAGGGCCCGCTCGGGGGTCTTCTACGAGGGGCCCACGGGAAGCGTGTTCCTTTCACGCGCTGCTACGCACCCGCCCGGGCCCCGGCGGAGCTGGCTACCGGCATCCGAGTCCCACCCCGCCCACCCGGCCGAACTAACGGCACGGAGCCGGGGATCCTTCTCCATCCCGCCTCGAGCCAGCAGGCACCTGCTCCGTGGCGCCTGAAGCGCGAGTTTGTCTTCTCAGCCCGCCCAGAAGGTCCCGCGCTAGCGAGTGGGTGCCCGGGGCCCCTTCGCCTAACCAGGAGCGGGGGTCTGCCCTGGGCGCTCGTCTCCAGGGGCCGCGCCCTGCCTAGCACGCGCGCGGTGCCCCCACCCCCGGCGCCCACCGCAGCAGGGACTGCGGCCAGGGGGCCGCCGGCTCCTCGGGCAGTACCTTGTGCGGCGCCCGCAGCAGCCGGTGGACCCCGGCCAGCTGGGTGCCGAGCGCGAGGTCCTCCCGGAACGTGAACAGCGGCGGCC